TAATCCCTTCTGGTCTGTTTATTTTCTAATCATAAATAAAATTCTGTCTTAAAGCATTTCAAACATGAAATATTATTCAGTTTGACGTTTCGATTTTCACGTAAAAAATGTTTTTAAAATTTACTCTTCTATATTCTCCAATCTAATAAAATCTGAATATTTATTTTCTTATTCTTGTTTAAAGTTTAAATTAAGTTTAAAGATGACCTTGATTAGACAAGTTCCTCATTATCTTTAATTATGAAATTTTTATGGATGGTCTTCATATTTATTGGCTAGATAAGGTTCTCGGTAATTTGTTCTTTGATTTTTTCCCATTTTACGGAAGACCATACACACAGTATACAATATAAATTAAATTATTTCAGAACCACTTTATAGGTTAATTGTAAAATGTGTTTTATAGTATCAGTCTGCTGGGTTGTTGTTAGGTCTTTAACTTTACTCATAATAGAGATTTTGTTTGATTGTCTCTTTAAATAGATCACGCTTCATATTTTAAAATTTTAAGATTAATCAATTCATACCACAGAGGAATGTTTTTATGTAACACTATACTGATTGCAACCATTCTCGATAGAGGTGGACTACTCCAGAATATTCTAGTACATAATAAATCCATTTATATAAATTGGAACCGCTCGTTGTATTTAAATACGCTACAGTGGTGTCACGGTGTGAGATTTAAAAATAACTTTAGCAGCGACTATTGAAAAAGACTTTTGAACTTTTGAAAAGTACTGTTCGTAGCATCCACGTAGTTTCACGCATCAAAAGTATTGAGGACCATATATGGCGGAGTAAACGAACAGGGTCTGTGGAGACGGCGATATAAACGACCTAAACTCAGATATCTGGACGATGTACAGGAAGATCGGAAGAAGATTGGAGTGAAGGGCTGGAGAAGATAGGCACTCGATAGGAAAGGATGGTAGAATGTTTTGAAGCAGGCCAAGGATCACGAAGGGCTGTAGCGTCAACTGATGATGATTTGTGAAAACAGAAATATTTACGTATGGTCTGTCAACAATAACAAAAACTGTTTACTGCAATAATTCCAGCCATGCTTGTTGCATTATATTTCCGTTTTAGACGAAAAAACCGAAGAAGTATTAACAAGACGAAGTCTAAAATAAGGATGTCCGACATTGTACAAGTTGATGCGTCCTTAATCGTGTTACAACAATACATAAAAAAGAAAAATAAAAAACGAAAAATGTGGATACGCCCTTTTTTAAGTAAACGCGAAACAATAAGAAATTTAACTAGGGAAATATTGCTAGACAATCATTTGTTTAGGAATTTTACAAAAATGTCAAAAAGTGATTTTGAACTACTAATAAATATGATAGGGCCAGTAATAGAGAAGAAAGATACAAACATGAGAAACACAATACCAATCACAACAAAATTAGCAATCGTTCTTCGGTTTTTGGAGACTCGTGACTCCTATACTAGTTTACAGAATAAGGACAAAGAAATCCAAATAATATGTTATGCAAACGACGTCGCATTAATCGCCGAGACAGAAGACGAGCTCCAAAGATTAACACGCATCTTCAATACAACAGCCAAGAAATCCAATATGATAAAATCAGCAGAAAAAACCAAATGTATGACCACCTCTAAATACCCACTACGATGTAAAATCGAAATTGATGAAAAAATAATAAAGCAGGAATCAAGGTATAGATATCTGGGAATAGCCATAACTAGATACGGAGATGTTGAAGAAGAAGTACGACAACAAATCTTAAAAGCAAGTAAAGCGGCGGGATCTCTTAATGACACAACCCGGAAGAAACAGACCAAGAAAAAATTGGTGAAATAATTTAAACAATTTAGGAGGCTAATATTGAAGAAAAAACAGGTTTTAAAGCCTATATACAAGAAGGAAGAAAACTAAGCTTCATATGCAAACGAATGTACAATTTTGTCACCTTGACTTACACTTTTCTTTTGAATTACCTTTTTGTGTTCATTTTTCGCATATGTCCTTAAACTTCTGAATTTTTTATAAGCTTCGTCCTGTGTTATATTGAATTCTTGTGCAATGGCCGTAAAACTATCTTTCTTTGCAGTTCTGTGTTTGTATGTTGTATTTTCTACACCCCACAACAAATGTACTGCATTATTAAAACTTATTGTGTTTTTATTTAACCACATTCATTTTTTCTTTGTATGTTTTGACAAAACCAAATTATGTTTCAACAGAGTAGCCGAGCAACATGCAATCTTTTCCACGGTATTTCGACTTTATCGGTAATACATCAGTCACTAACTGCAATAGTGTTCAAATACCAGCAAGATTTCGGCCACATGGCTCGGATATAGGGCGATATTTTCATTAGATGGCTGCAATGTTGCCAGCAACATACCGAATATATATTTTCGGCGACATATTGCTTTAAAAACTAGCCCGTCTAAATGCACCTTAAGTTTTTCAGTATTGTCTTTTTCTTTAAGTGCCATCTCCGTGACGAAGGTTGGCAATCATCATAGCTATTCTGACCTTCGAGGCAGCTGCTCTGAACAATTACCTTCAACTGCAACCAAACCAGTCTCCCAGGTTCTTCAACCAGGAAACGCGTCTTCTTCCTACTATTCTCCTACCCTCTATTTTTCCTTAAAATATGAGTCTCATGAAGTTGTATCTTTCGCCTCTCATCACATGTCCGAGATATTGTAATTTATTTTTTTTTATTGTATTCTTCATTTCCCTTTCTCTGCCTATTCTCCTTAACACTTCTGTATTCGTAACTCTATCTCAGTGTTGTCTATTGTATATTAATGCAAAAAATTCTAATCAATATTGTTTTTTATTGACTATGACAAGAGAGTGTTGCCTTTGGCAGTGGCGGATCTAGAAATTTTTGTCGAGGGGGGTCATGGATCTTGAAGGTGATTTTGATATGGGATTTAGATTTTTGCACCTTTCAGTGGCTGATCTCCAAAAACTTTTGTCGGGGGGAGGGTAATGGATCTTGATTTTGAGATGTTTTGTGCCTCATGTAAGGAAACCATTTTTTCAATATTTATTTTAAGCGATATATTAAACCAATAAGAAATTATTAAAACCCAAATACCCTAAGGATGCAAAGAAGTCGTGCAAAGATGCCTTAAACTTAAACAAAAAAAAAAAATTTAAACCCACGTACTCTATGACAGTAAAATCAAGAGTGCAATACTATTAAACCAAAGGAAAGTTATTAAGATTTAAATACTGAAAAATCAAGGCCTGTCAATTTAAACTAGGTATTTTAAAGATAACTAATTTAAACCCAACTACCCTATGGCTACAAAATCAAGAACAAACCAAGGATAAATAAGTATATAAAATAAGGTTAAATTAAATAATTTAAATGCAATAACTCAATGTAAGTGTAAACATTAATGAATGTATTAAACATCCCTAATAAACTCTATCATATCGTTGGATATTCGATATCAATTTGTAAAAACGTTCATTTATTCCTTAATGCTATATTATATGGAGTAGAAACATGGACTCTCGGAATTACAAGTATGAGGTCTATAGAAGCCTTTAAAATGTATATTTTTCGAAGCATGCTGAAGATTTTGTGGACAGAGTACGTGACCAACAACGAAGTGCTGAGAGAGAACTCAGCAGAAATATTGTAAACAACAAAAAAACGAGTTATCTAGGACATATTTACAGAGGAGAAAAATATAACTTTCTAAGACTCATAATGGAATGGATAGTAGAAGGAAAAAGAGGTTCAGAAAGAAGAAAATGCTCCTGGCTGAAGAATGTAAGAGACTGGACAGACATGGGCACACAGTGTAAACAGCATTTTATTTAAATTAATTTATTAAAAAAAACATTAAATAATTTGAAAATAGTTATTTCTATAATTAAGCATATTAGGCTACAAGTGACTGAAATATTTTTTTACTCGGTATTGAAATTTGTCTCACGAACTATTGGCAACAGCCAGCAACGAATGGTAAATAAAACTTCATTGATTAAAAATACTATAAGAATAAGATGAGTAAATAATATATAATTTTATAAAATGTATTCTTTTTGCCTATCCGATTTAGCAAATCAATATCTAGAGAAATTTCAGGATACATAATACATACTAATAAGTTCTTAACTAGTTAACCTTTCCTAAATTCTATTTCTAGGCCAAGTCTTTAGACGCTTAAGCGTAAAAAACTGCGTTCTGCTGTTGTTACACTGACTGGCAGTGTAATTAATATTTGCAGAAATATTCTAATCATGAATTTGTTGCTTGTGTGAGTCCATTTCTTATTTATTATTTCTTTACCTATTTTAAATATTCTAATATTTGGATGCAAATGAATATCGCAGTTTTCTAATACTTCTAAAATAGAATCAGGAAGTTTTCCATTATTTTGCACAACTCTTTTTCATTTTTGAATCCACAGTGGAAACTGTTGTTCTACCGTGGAATATGCATATTCCAAGAATAGTCTGGAAGGCGTCAAAAATTTTTTTAATGCAATTTTATCTTCTGGTGTGTTTTCAGTTTTAGGTAAAACAACACGAAGATAAATAGATTCATAACTTCTGGTAAAAGCCGTTCTTCTAAATCTGTTAAGAGAATATCTAAAACAGTTAAATAAATAGATCTTCGAAAATATTATCTGCAAGACGCGTAATACGCGAAAGAAAAATTGGCCGGTTGGTTTAGTTGGCTAATAAGGCCATAGTGTCCTCTATGGCTTTATTAGCCTTTTTCAAATTTAATTTTGGTGACTAAAGAATACGACTAAGTGATACAGTTGTACCTAAAACATCACTAAAATAAACTACTGAAATAAGAACTTCTGGTCTCCCAATAGTTTGCATTAATAAAAATGCATCAGTTAACGTTTTACTGATCTTCCACGTAGAAATTGTTTCAAGAGCGTTTTTGATGATTGATTCGCCCTGGAACTAAAGATGATCTTCATGCCTTTCAACCCAACGAGTTTCACAAATACCTTGGACAGGAGCCCCCAGTTACTTCTTAAAAACAGCATGTCATTTGAGAGATATTAGCAAAAGCTACTACTTTTCTCATAGTTCCTGAAGCATTACGACATGATATAACTTTTGAGGAGCTTGCCAAGGAATTATTCAAAATATGATTGCTACATGGACAACGCATAGCATGTTTGGCCGATTTTTTAAATTCGTTAACGTCACTTTTCGTTTCGGATGCCATTACTGAGCAACTGTCGACACCAAAACCTACGCAAAAATTTAAATCTAAATTAAAATTGTTTACGGAATCTTCAACAATGTGGCATAAAGTAACTTCAGTTAAGCGGCGTTCTTTTTCTGAACCGACGCATTCTTCTCGAATCGAATCGTAGGCGTTAACAAATGTGATGAAATCTTCTCTTATCCCATTTAAATGAAGATATCGCAGAGACATTCTTCTTTACAGCAAGAAATGATATCATTTTGAGTAGTTTTATTAGTTAATCATTTTTTTCTGTACCATCGCTGCTTACAATACTTTTAATATTTTTATCATCCCTATGCCCTCTTAAAGAAATATTTTGTCTACCACAAACAATAACAGCTTTTATTATTGGATTCAAATTCTTTATATTTTCTTGAATTATTTTAACTGCATATAGGGTTGATGGGTTTTAAATTATTCCCTTGGATCCGCCACTGGCCTTTGGTCATAAAGCACAGCTTTTTCGTTGACAACTGTGAAATGGTATATAAAGCATTTTAAATTGGTTTCAATGTTTTCTGAAACAACTTCCGAATTTAGGCGACCAGGGTTAATAATATGTGCTGCTTGTGTGAGTCCATTTCAAATAGGTAAAGAAGAAATAAATAAGACTTACAATCAGTTTAATTTAACTATCTAGACGACCGGTTTCACTTTCTACCACTTGCACAGCATCTTCAGGTCTGTCGATACAAAGTTAATTAAATGCTGAAATAGTAAAACCCATATTAGGGTGTTGTCTTATAAGGATAAACATAAAGATGAAATAATATAAATTACAGTAATTATGCCAATATTACATGTCTGTGTTTTTTTTTAATATTATGAATAAACTGTTTAAGCAGACAAAGTAAGACCCACAAATTGGTATAAAATAGAATATTGAATTGTAATAAATTAGTAAATATACAAAACATTACTTACATGAAGGTACACGATTTATTAATGGTTGGAAGAACATAGTTCAAACTATTCTGTAATTGCTGATGATGGGGATCTTCAGTTTTTACTATTGTAACTATTTGACAATCCACGGGGAAGTTTCTTGAGGAGATAGATTTTATCCAATGAAGTAGAAAATAGGTGTAGGGGAGAACAGGGAGACTTGATCATATGGGAGACTTGATCACTCTTTAAAATTTCAGTAAATAAGTAGCCTAAAATTATAAAACCGGCAACAAAGCGTAGCTGTTAGTATGTCTGAAGATCCCATATAATTTAGTTTGTATTAGAATCCACAACGAAGAGCACGTGTTTATTACAAGTTTTTTGTCCCTACCGAAAAGTGTTTTCAGAATTATTTCAAGTTGATTTTCTTTAATATTCGTTAAGGTGAGTTTTTCGTATAATTTTTATTTAACACTATAATCATTCAGTTTAAGAAAGTTTGCCGTAAGAAATAATAAAAAAATACCTGTTTCGTGGAATAAACATAAGCAAGCCAGTTACGACTGGTTATACGGATTTCTGAAGAGGATGAAGACCTTATCACTACGATCTCCGGAAGCAACCAGTCTTACTAGAGCAACTAGCTTCAATAGAAACAATGTATCAAAATTTTTCATAAATTTAAAGACAGTTCTTGAAAGCAATGGAATTGGACCAGAAGCAATTTGGAGCATAGACGAAACTGGCCTTTCAACTGTCCATAAGCCAAAGAAGATTATTGCATGCAAAGGTGCAAAACAGGTTGGTAAAATTACGTCAGGGGAACGTGGACCAACAGTAACTCTTTGTGGTGCAATCAACGCAATTGGAAATCATATACCGCCTTTTTTGGTTTTTCCTCGAAAATTTTGGTAAGATCGCATGATTGATCATAGCCCACCAGGGACCACCGGCGTAGTTTATGAAAGTGGATGGATGACCGCTTCTAATTTCGTCAAATTTTTGGAACATTTTCAAAAACATGTAAAGGCGACTACCGACAATAAATCTTTAATCATAATGGACAATCACGATAGCCACGTTAGTCTGGAAGCCATAACGTATGCCAAAGCACACGGAATAGTTCTTCTTACCATACCACCACATACGTCGCATAAGCTCCAGGCGTTAGACACGAGTGTATTTGGCCCTCTCAAGAGTTTTTATATTACTGCCAGTGATGATTGGATGGTACCGCACCCTGAAAGGACAATTACAATATATGAAGTCGGAGGATGCTTAGCTTACGCTTTCCCCCTAGCTTTTACTCCACGTAATATTGAGAGTGGATTCAGAGTTACGAGTATATGGCCTTTCAATTCCAATATTTTTACCGATGAAGATTTTATGTCGGCGTATGTTACTGATCGCGAAGATCCGGAAAACAAATCCACTTTATCCCAGTTTGATGTTGCACAACCAGCCATAGATAACAATAATCAACCCTCCACTTCTACTGGCACTTTCACCACCCCTGAAATTATTAGATCACATTCCTCAAGTGGATCCATTTCACATAATCAACACTAATTGAGGACGAAAATCAGCCTTCTACTTCTACTGGTACTTTCACCACACCTCAAATAATTAGATCCCATTCTGTAAATGGAGATACTTCACAAAATGAACAGCTACACGAACATCAAAAGAGCACAATAACCATTCTTTCCCTTCTGCCACGTTTACTAGCCCAGAAATGATTAGACCCCACCCTAAAGCCGGGCCCAGGACTTCAGCAAAGGGTAGAAAGCGAGCAACTACAAAAATTCTCACAGCAACACCAGAAAAGCTTGCGCTTGAAGCTGAAGTTAAGGCTAAAGAAGAGAAAAAATTAGAAAAATAGCAAAGGGTTAAAATAAGAGCCATAAAAAGAATAACTAAACAAAAACTTAAGGATTTGAGGGAATCTTCAAGTTCGGGGGCAGTGACATTATACTACCATCGTCAGAGTCTGAATATGATCCTAATGATGAAATGCAAGTAGAGACAGATAGTGAATGTGAATCGGAAGCAGAAGGTGACGAGTTTGAGTTGAGTGTGCAAGATTGGGTAATATTCAGCTTTGTCTCCGAAAGAAACTTAGTCCATCGATACGTAGGACAGATAATGGAAAAAAAGAACGAGGATTTTAAAATCAAATTTGCCCAAAAAAGGGATGAAAAAACCTTTAAGTGGCCAGAAAAAGAAGACATGGGTGAAGTTCTACGTGACCAAATTTTAAAAAAGTTACCACGCCCGACTTTTAGGAGCTACAGTAAGCGCATAGGATGTTTTGTCTTTCCCAAATCACTAAGGATGTTCAATATTCGAGAATAATTTTTTTTCTTTTATCATTTTTCAGTATAGTTTTTTGCCAGAAAGTGTTATATATTTTTAATAACATTATTTGTTATACGTCAGGACTGAGTAAAGTTAGTTTTTAGCATCCAATTTTTGGTTTTATTTTAATATCGTAAATATGGAAAGGTATAATCAAGTCTCCCATACACAAGGATCAAGTCTCCCGGAGTACGGGTAGACATGCTTAGTTTCTCCATGTTACGAAATTCTACAAAAACTCGTTTTTTATTAGCAGTATATTTTTGGGGTGTACAATACCCAAAACTGTGATAAATTTGTAATGTTCCACTAAATTATCAATGTTCTAGATTGGTTGTAAAAGGAGCTATCTGAAAAAATGTAAAGGTGGGATCAAGTCTCCCTCTTCTCCCCTTATGTAATTGTTTGTTAAATGAAAGTGATGTTCTGTATTATTTAATTCTTTAAAAGTTATTTATATTTTTTCAAGAGATATATTTTCCAAATGTGTGTTAATTTATTGAAAATTTTTATTAAGGTGATAAGTTGTATGACAATTAATGAAATTAGATGTACAATTTGGTGGGTGTGCAATTCCTTTAACTTGTAATTATCAAATTTCTTTGATAAAGTTCAATTATATTACTGTTGTTTGGCAGATGATTGGAATGTCAAATATGTTAAAGTTATTAAAACTATAACAATTAAGGACACTTAGGGACAAACAGAACACACTTTAAAGGACAAAATAGACATTAAATTTTAAAATGGGACTTAATAGCACTACACCTCTGAATTGGAAAAAATGAGTTTTTTGTTGTCTATTAGATTTTTAGAGGTAAATTTGAAAAGCTAATGTATGTTACAGTGTGACAATTCTTCTTTTATTTCTTCGAACTGCAAGTAAAGGAAAGTTAACCAGTTTTTTTAAGTTAACAATTATTTTAATAATTTTTTACCAATTTCTTAAACTTATAGTTAAATTATTGTAGTTCATTATATTTTAAATAATTATTTACGTTCTGTAGATATGGTAATATATTGATTTTAGCGATTTCTTAACGGACAGTTTACAGTTATATGCAATGCTAAAATTGTCACTGCAAGCTATGAAAAATCATCTATTAAAAATGATAATTTATTGAAGAATTCGTGGTAGATGTGAGCTCCGCTCCGTCGGCGGCGACAGGGCACCTGCCATGCACGTGTATATTCTTAGTTTCTTCTTAAACCAACTTTTAACAAGTCATGTTTTTTGTTCGACCCACACAGAGCTCCGAGCGGTGTCAATTAAAATCCTTCAAATTAAGAGTCAAAGTTGTTTTTCACTCAAATTTAACGTCTAACCTCCGCTCCGTGAGGGACGCAACTAAATAGTCTTCATTAAACTGTACATTCTTGAATGAATCTCGACAAAAGGGCCCAATTAAATCACATTTATCAACGTCAATCAAAAAAAGAAAAAGAAAATTGTAAAAATCCATCAGCTGTTGCCTTCGAATAAAAACTAATTGGGCCTCAGACATTTTTTCAACAAAAGTCAATGATTTCGCTCATAATTGTCAAATTGTTGCATATAGGGCATTCATTACAGAGGCGACATTTGAAAAAGGGCTGTAGCTGCAGCTCTACCTTTTCAACCGATTGTCTGCTAGTGTGTGAAGTGCACGGTCGCCCTTCTCTTAAACACCGCACAGGGTAGGTCCAGTGTAGAATCCAGACCGGTATTTTAGTTCAGGTTAACTTTCTCCTTGTGAATTTATTATCGAGCCTAAATATTTTAAACTCTTATCTGTTAATAGTTTTGATTAATGTAATATAATTTACATTATTAATCTATTTTATCAACCTACTTAAAAGTATAAATGTCAACTTATTACATTCAGTAAGGGACAAAATCACTTCCAAATGAAAAGAAAAGAAGAGATACGTGAAAGTAAGGATTTCGAGGTAATAATTAGAGG